TTTTTGCTTCCTTTTTTCTCTCTCCTGTCATGCCTCACTTTCACGTATGTCTCATTTAAACGAAGAAGCCCCTTCCCTGCGCCCGTGCAGAGGAGTAAAACTGCTCTTGCTTTGTTTCGCAGTCGGGCCTCACACCAATACACGTGGCTGCATTTATGGGCCACTTGAACATAGTCCTCCTTCTGCTGCAGAACGGAGCCTCTCCCGATGTCACTAACATTGTGAGTATGGCTTTGACTAGAATCATCTGTGCAATACCTCCTCCGAAAAGGGTCTGGCCTACCATGTAGCTCAACCAAAGGTCACATTTTAACGATACTTTATGACTTCAGTGCATTTTAGGACAAATTATCCTAGCACCTGTAGTGAAGAGGGGAAAATGGTGATTGTATATGCATTATAAGCCATCCGTGGCTTCACGTATTCTTCAGCAATGCTCGAGTAGGTAAGGTTTCCCTTAGAAACAGACGGAGCTCACCAAATACATCCAAAACTGATTATAAGCCAAGTCACGGGGAAGACTGTGTTTCCATTCCGAAGGATGAAATTTAAGTCCAAATGGCTCTAATTTCTGCTTGCGTAGCTTCACTGGCTGCCGTGAAATCGTGTCATTTGTATCGGTGAAAGGGTATAAAATGCTTAAAACCTAACAACCAAACAAAAAGGAAAAATGTTAAACTCAAGATGTTCCTCGTAGACGGGAAATTCCAGGAACGGGTGCCTTTCGAAAGAACATGCTTAAATGTAGAAAATGTGACCTTTGGGAGGTAACACAAAACGCAGAACCTGACTTACCATAGAAATCAGTGTTTGTATACCAATGGCCTAGTTACCAAGAAGAATAACAATAAAAAGAACATGATAGTTTTCTGAGCCGTATCGCATAAGGTATCTTACTGTTCAAATTTGTCAGTATAAACAAATATTCAGCTCATGACCACCTGCACTCTGAAAGCAGCTTTTTTACCAGTAAATAATGTTAGAGATAAGTGTTCCCAGCAACAAAACAGCAACAAAAATTTAGTAACCCAGGTACACTGGACTCATCGGTTTTTCTCAGTTAGAAAAATCTTACATGGACCTTAGTAAAAATGTTGAGCACACCGAGTTGTTTGCTTGAATCGTTAGAACAGACTTTTCTTGACAAAGTCTCCTACTGCTTTCATACCTTTTTATAGAAGCAATCTTTGTATAAAAACTTTATTGATGATACGAAAGCCAACAAGAAATTCTTGTGGAAGCAATTAAAAGTATTGTGTTACCGGACATTTGTGTGCAAAGTTTAACACTTCACAATTTATGCTACACAGGTGTCTTGGCTTTTACTTGGTAAGCTGAAGTTCTCTGTTGAATTACTAACTGTTTCCAAAAGCTAAATTGCTTTGCTAATTCGAGTACAAAAGAGTCTTTATAGAAATTTGATCTTTAGAGTGTGTGAAATGTAAACCTTATTCACGTTTTAAACAGCTCATTCTTCAGGTAATAATGGAAATTATCTATTCGGATTTGTAGCTAGGGCTGTGGGATTTTGTTTGTTGCCTACTTGCCAATCACAGCTGGTGATACAATGTTAATTTTAAAAAGGCAAGATAAATCAAGTCCTGGTGAAGAGGGTTTGCTTTAATTAGAAGTTCATAATAGTAGGCAAGCTCAGGCTGCTTCTTTTCCTGCATCTAGACGGACAAGAAGACCCGATTCTGATGCAAAAGATCTTGACCAGACTGTTCATTTTGGCAGTTGCAGTTTACCTTGATGGTCGTGGGGGTAGAAGCCTTACAACAGAACATACTCCAGCTCTAGCGTAAGGAGAAGGAACAGTTAACACAAAGAAGGGATCAGCCCTGCTGTGTTGTCATAGCATAACAGATAAATACAGAGCTCCTGGTTGCGGAACTGTCCCAATACCTAATGTACCAGATACCGATGAGCTGCGCAGGGACTGTTTTAGTCCGCTTTAGGACAGTGCACTCAAAGAATGCTGGACAGTGCAAAATTAAGCTGGAAACGCCATCGTCAAGGAATACTCACTTTCAGTGTTCCTTTGCAAACCTATGCAAAAAGTAAATGCTTTGAATGTATCATCCGTACTTCATTATCCCGATCTGAAATTCCACATCACTCCAGTCAGCTTTCCAAAATTTCATATCCTCCTTCAAATTCTGTGGGCTACAAAATGCTTGAAAGGAGATTCATTCTGTAGCCTGCAGACAGAGTCACGCTGCTGAGCACAGATTTTACACATTTCGTATGCTGGCTCAGTCGTGCACAGCCATTGCAAGGCCTTTCAACGCTGCCAGCTCCACACAGTGTGCAGGAAGAGACCATCTGGAAAAATATCCCCTTCCATCTTGAGGCTCATGTGCTTCGCAATCCCTTGAGAGAGACAGGCTCAATATACTTTTATCTCCTGTGCGGCACACAAGCTGATGCACTGTTACGTAGAAAGCTGAGGAACATATGTGACCAGGGGAGTCTATACGGCAGAATTTTCTATAAGCCAGGATTTTCATTCTGACCCTCTGTAGCGAGATTACGTTTGTCTGGGATCACCGAGTTTGCAAACCAAAGCCTACCCAGGCCCAGCGACGTGTATGCACACGCCCTTGTGAACTGCCTGTTGCTGGGTCTGAAGCCAGGTTCTCAGCTGGCGGAAAGGCGGGTCTCTGCACGAGTTGACGCGGGTGGAATTCACACCGTCGGAGCTCTGTTTCTTCGTGGAGGTTTAGGACACTGAAACGCTTTTGCTTTTCTGCAGCGTGGAGAAACTGCGTTGCACATGGCGGCACGTGCCGGGCAGGTGGAAGTAGTTCGCTGCCTCCTGAGAAACGGGGCCCTGGTTGATGCCCGAGCCAGGGTAGGTGTTCTGCTTACAATTTTTTTTTGCTTTCTCTTACTCAAAAACATAGCTGGAGCAGAGGAGCTAGGGAGGAGCGATTTCATTTTTATTTCTTCTGTTGATTCAGTATTAAGCACACCTGAAAACAGTTCTGAAAACAGTAACGTATTTGCACGTAGATCTTCCAAAGAGAATGTGTGTGGTGGGCTGACCCTGGCCGGCAGCTCAGCCCTGCTCGGTCATTGGCTTACTGCTCCCGCAGCAGGATAGGGGAGAGAATTGGGAGGGCGAAAGCGAGAAAATCTCTTGGGTTGAGATAAAGGCAGTTTAATAGGTGAAGGAGAAAGGGGGGAAAAAAAAAAACCAAGCAGAAAACCCACCCCTTCCCCCCACAAGCGATGTGAATGCAGTCAGTCACCACCTCCCACAAGCAGACCGATGCCCAGCCAGTCTCCGAGCAACGGCTCCTTTGGAAAAACTCACCCCCTAGTTTTATTGCTGAGCATGACGTTATATGGTATGGATTATCTCTCTGGTCAATTCGGGCCAGCTGTCCTGGCTGTGTCCCCTCCCAACCTCTTGCCCACCCCCAGCCTATTCCCTGGGGGGCAGAGGGACAAACAGAGAAAGCCTTGGCGTTGTGTAAGCACTGTTCAGCAATAGCTAAAACACTGGTGTGTTATCGACGCTGCCTTGGTCAGAAATCTAAAACAGAGCACCATATGGGCTGCTGTGATGAAAATTAACTCCATCCTGGCTAAACCCAGTACGATGTGCCTGAGTCGGACCAGCAATAGCTATTCTCGTCTGAGCAAGGAGGTGCACAGCCATGTCCTAAAACCAAACGTCAGAGGTTCTGATAGCAGTTAGTGCCAGATTTTGAAACCGAGGGGACTGTTTGCAGAGCAAGGTACAGCTGTTGTAAAACAGATTAAGAACACAAAGGGGAGCAAGTGACGCTCACAGTGATGTGCGCTACCTGCTTGATAAAAGGAAAAAAACCCGATGTTTTTCTTCATAGTTCTCTCTGTTCTAACAAGATGTTGCTTGAGCTCATCGCAATAATTAACCCACGAGCCCTCCGTTAGTGCCTTTTTTTGTACTATTACTTCCTGTGATTTTTGCAAGACAAACGCATAGCTAGATCTGTTGGGATCAGCCAGAATATTGTGTTCAGGGTGGTTCTACCTGCGCTAATTATCTACTCGATTTGAGTTGTAGGAAGAACAGACTCCATTGCACATTGCTTCTCGCTTGGGCAAAACGGAGATCGTCCAACTTCTGCTCCAGCACATGGCCCACCCCGATGCCGCAACAACTAATGGGTACACTCCACTGCACATCTCTGCCAGAGAGGGACAAGTTGATGTCGCATCGGTTCTCCTAGAGGCAGGTGCCTCGCACTCCATGTCCACCAAAGTAAGACAAAATGCTTGACGGCTGTAGCCCAGTAGCGCAGGGGGTGCATGCCAGCACACACCTATTCCGCGAGGAACGTACTCTCCCACTGACAAACTGAACTTGTTCGGGTCTTTTGTTTTGTTCTTACTTAATCAACAGCGACCCAATAGACTGAAGTAACATATCGGAAGTTAATCAAATTTTGACGTATTTTGCTGTCATCTAAAGCTGGGAGTTTGGTTCCCACTGGAGCCAAATGCAGATCATGATAAATACACGGTCCCGACAGGTTTAAAACGTACACGGAGTCCTTGTTTCTCTCTTTCCCGTTGTGTTATGGGTAGGGCTTTTTTGGCCAAAGTTTTCAAAAAAGAAAAGGGCATGATAACGACACTTTTTTTATGAGCAGGCCTGCTTATTCTTCAGTATCTTGTTTACTTAAATAGTAAAATAATTCTGGTCTGTGCTAGCTGAAAGGAACATTCCTAAAACATACAAGTCAGCATCTGTCCAGTCGCATCTAATGCTGAATCTATTTTCAGTGGTTCTATAAATGAGGTGTCATATGACACAATAGGCCATTTTGTCTGGGGTTATGAAAGAAATAGTCTGCAGAATCATTATTGTTTTGTTAGCCAAAAATGTTCACCAATAGATTCCTAACAGAGTGATGAACACGTAAGAAAATAGATCGCTGTGAATGGAATTATGTGCCAAGGTATCTTTTCCAAATTTATCGCGTGTGATTAAGTGAGAATCACTTAATTCTCGTTATTGTTTTAGGTCTTGAAAAAGTAGCCCTGATTTTACAGCTGGAGCTTAAAACATGTTTTTGAACAAGAGCGTCTTCCAGGTTTTAGAAGACTAAACCAGCAATTTTCAAATTATGATCCACGGATTACTGGGAATGCTTGCTGTTCTCCTTTTATCCAGCAGCTAAATCACATTAGAACGGCTAAAAATACACTAAATACTTTCTTAATTTCCCATATTGCTTTATGGCAATTGCTTCAGTACTGCAGGAACATTCTGTAATTATGAATAGGAGAAGATGTAGTCCACTAGCTAATCCCTCTACAAACCTGTGATTTGTGAACTGGAAATGGTTGAGATTCCCCGACGTAAACTCTTTTTTGAGGTGGGATTAATGGAACAAGATGATAGCGATACTAAACATTACACATCACTTATGTGTCAGGCAAATAGGTCAATAGCTCCCCGGAATTACTGTCAGGGCAGCGGTGCAGTCTGCCACCTACTGTCTGGCATCCATGAGTTTTCCTTATCAACACGGGTTTTTTAAATTAAAAGAACAGGCAAAGAGCATGCTAGTTTGACATAGACCTTACGCCTGTGCTGTACTGACAAGCATTATTAAAACAAATAGAAAAGGACTCTTTTCAAAAGACAAGATTTTTGGTCTTGCCACAATGTGTTTCCAAAACCACTGCCATTGAGTCAGGCCTGACTTTTTCTAGCTGCAGTTCCGAGGCTGCAGCGGAACTTAGTGCCTGTATGGATACACGAGTCCAAATACAAATCGTTCTTCAACAAACTCGCTAAAGGAGGAATATGAAGTTTGGAGCTTTTCTCACTGAATTTAGTTGGTGTTTCATTGTTACTGGCAACATTTGGTACAGGAAGTATTTCTAAAGCTGCCCATCATGGAACTAAAAAGTGCAGCTGGTTTGGAGTAAAAATTTGAACAAGTGCCTTCATTGCCCACACGCAGAGTCTATGTTGCTAGCAGAGTCTGTATCAGATAAAATGTCTGCCAGCCTGACAGCACGTACGTTGGGAAGAATAAAAGGGAAAGTATTTTCTTGTATTCCATGCTTCTAAAAGTGCTTTCAAGAGATGATGCCCTTTGTATGTGTGGCTGTTGATTCTGCCAGCTAGAATATAGGTTGAAGAATAAGCGCTTGGTACATACTTCTTAAAAGAGAGATGTCAGCATGACCTTTAACGCAAACATCTGCTTTTTATCTCCTGGAATTTTGCAGAAGGGATTCACACCTTTGCATGTGGCGGCCAAATATGGGAGCCTGGAAGTGGCAAAACTCCTGCTGCAGCGCCGTGCCTCTCCCGATTCAGCTGGCAAGGTACTGATAAGGGGAAAAAAAAAAAAAGTCAGCGGCGTTTTGGAGTCTTCCCTAGGAAAGAAGTGTGTGAAAGGTGCACGCGAAAGGAGGCTGCGGCCACTTTCACACGGTGGCTCCGGCTTTGTTAGGGTCGCGTTCCCCCAGGGGTGACGGTTTATGTGCGCTAGTTGTGGAAAGCGAGCGTGTCGGGTTTGGGTCGCCGGTGCCGGCTCTGGGGAGGGACGCGTTTCTGTGGCTCAGGTAGCGCCGGTTCCATTAGGCGGTCCAAACGCTCAAAGCCCCGGGGGATAAACACGGGGGCAAGGCCCGGTTTCCCCGTGGGCTGTGGGAATCGCTCAGCGCCGGCTCTGGGGAGACGCGAAGCCAGGCCCGCCGCCGCGGGCAGCCGG